TTTACAGAGTGGTCCGTCTTTTCTCTTTTTCTTGACAAAACAACAACAATAAGCACACAAGAACACGGGGTGTTTCCTTTTCAATATAAAACATAGACAGTATAGATCATTAAATAAACTATTCAAACAAAAGAAGGGCGTATCGGGGTAATATACACTTTCCATTTCTCCCAAATGTCCTCAAATGTAAGTTCCTGGAGCCTCATAGAGAAGGTTATTATTTCCATTACAAAGATTTCATAAATTATACCGTACCAATCATCTATAGATGGGCGGTTTGGTTTGAGCCATACTATGTCCTCTTTAAAGGAAAACATAATCTTACCAACAACAACGAAAACAGCTAAGTGCAAAGATTATGAAATAAAATGAAATTGGAAGAATTATCCATTTTTGATGTATGTCTTTGTGTTGGATCCGTGGACCACACTGGACTTTGTGTCGTTTGTGTTTCCTTGATTTTTCTCTTTCCATGCATGACCTAAAAATGCTACTGAAACGCCCCGATCACACGCTAACCAGAAACAGGGGGCATTCCCAAAAGGTCTGTCCAGGTCTAAGAGGTCAGTTTGTCATTCATCACATGCATTCACTTTGTAAAGAAAACATCCAGTAATTCTCTTTTATAATGTTGGACAGATAGCCAAAGAGGAATATAAAAGCCTGACATTGGTCCGTGCTAAACTCACATTCACTTAACTGCCGTGGTACAATGTTTGATTTCGAATAGGAAAACAAGAATGTGTCTTAAGTAGCAAGCTTATTGACAACTACTTTCAAGGTATACTGTTCAGATATTACAATTTCCACGTAAGTATGTTTTTTCTGTTGTATTTTTATGATTGCATTCATCAATATTTCAGCTTTTGATTGTTTTTTCTTTGCACAGACAACAGGTATTTGTGATCCCTCACTTAAAAATGAGGTGGATTTTAATCCTTTTCCTTGGTGAGTATTAACTTTAACACTAAGGCACAAAAGTTAGGCTTAATGTATAAAGTAATCGACTAAAAATAAATAGAAGAGTAGAAGGGAATGGAGCTGCAGTAGTGTTAATTGATGCATGTGCTCAAAAATAAGTATACTGGTTTTATATCTTTAATAATGTATTATATCTATATTTGTATATTTTTATATAGGTTGTATGTTTCCTAGTGTATGCATTTTATTTATTTTATTCCATCCTATTTTTATACTTATATTTAATATCTTATTTCTAGTTGTATTTTTTTTTTTTACATGTTTTATTTGTAATTTGATTCTCAGTTTACCATGGAATCCTATCAATCCCTTTTTGTTAATCATATCTATTATTCAATTAAATATTTGTATTGTTACGTTTTTTTTGGACTGCAATTTTTGTCAGTTGCTTCTATTGTTATTATTATTATTATTTGTATTTTCCTTTAGGGAATGATGTTTTTTTTCTTCCAAAATGTATTCAAGGAAGCTCATTGGCTCTCTCTACCTCTGGCTGGACGTATCATCACTCCCGAAAGACCATGAACTGGACCCAGGCCCGGCAGTGGTGCCAGGACACCTACACTGACATGGTGGTGATCCAGAACCAGAGCGAGAACGACTATCTAGTGTCCATACTGCCAATCAAAAGAAAGAGTCCATATTATTGGATTGGAGTCACCAAAAACCACAAGAATGAATCCTGGACCTGGATTGGGAATAACAGCACGTGGGTTGGTGAGGATTCATGGGCAAAAAACGAGCCGAACAACAACCACAGCACCGAGTTCTGCGTGGAGATCTACGTGACAGTAAAAGACAAAAGAGGGAAGTGGAATGATGAGAAATGCAACATTCCTAAATTCCCTGTTTGTTATAAAGGTATATGTCTTTTCTTGCTGAAACAAATGCACATTTCCCCTCTGGAAGAATAAAGGTATTCTGATTCTGATCTGATTCTGGAGTAAAACTGATTGGGTTTCAAAGTTGTTACAGTTTCAAAAGTGGTAGAGGATTAGTGTTGAAGTTTTTCTCTACAGCTCAGTGTAATGAAACTTCATGTGAAAGAGGAAGATGCCAGGAGACCATAAACAACATGACCTGCCTGTGTGAGCCCGGCTTTGAGGGAGACAGGTGCCAAACACCCAATGAGTTACCTCTCACCAACAACTACAGTAAGTGAAGTTAATTTAAAGGACCTAATTTTGTCTAGTCCGTCTTAAACATTTCTCACATGCATATATGTACACCCGTAGCAATACGTTAATGTACATAAGCTGCAAACTGTCAGTGACAGATATTTATGTTTAGAGAAAGTAGTCATTCTTGAAAAACCCGCCTTGCATATCCTGTGATATATTATTTTATAAATGACATCTGAACAAAACGTTTTGATAGACAAACTTATAATGTCTAGGACTTTCTTAACTTTTTCCAAAAATATATTGGCTAATTTTACCTTTTTTGAATCTCATCTCCTTAATGTAGTGGCCACAGTATTTGAGAAAACGCATATTTTCCACCACCGTAAAATACAAAGATGAATTCCACAAAGAAAATGTACTGGTATTTTTTTAACAATGGGTTCAACCATATCTAGTTATTTAGCTCAACTATGACTGAACAGTGGCTTTTCAGGGGATGGGATTAGCAAGTTCAATCGATCATTGGCCAACTCTACACACTCTAAAAACAAATGCCTTGGCTTAACAAAGAAAATCAACGCAACAGTTTGCATCGATGTTTATTGAGTTAAGACAACTTCTAATGAAATTGTCTTAAAGCAACAAAGTTATTTGAGTTCGGGGAGAAGGCTTTTCCTCTACAATCAGAGGTGTTTTTAATGACCACTTACTTAATAATTGGTTATTAACTTTGTTATAAGCAGCTGCGGAGTGAACGTACTCCCAGTCTTCCTGAAAGAACTTGCGGTGAGCTTCATTTAAATCTTGAAAAAAAAGATAAATAACACAAATTTAAATTGCCCCACAAATAATAAATAAACACATTAGCCATATTACCAAGGGAAATGGGGACACAGCAAATAAATGCTGCCATCACAACGAAGTTAGAGGCCTTTGCATATTTTAAACCAGTGCCAAATATGTAAAATCTGTAGTTTTTGTAAAACTACAGAAACAAACTCTCAATGACCACCAATCTGCAGATCACACACATCAATTTTACAAAAGATGTAACAAAGATGTTTACACTGCCGACAGTCATTATTTTAAACAGTATGAACACATTTAACGCAGAATGCTTGCTCATTCATTTGTTTCCCTCGACCACGATGGTTGCCATCGTATGGTCAGATCCTGGGGTGGACCGGTCACTGATGAAGGCGATATTCATGTCCTTTTGAAGCACTTATGAAGCATTATTGATTGGGGTGTGGCCAAAAGTGGCAATATACTTCAAAATGTAACTGACAGAGAGCAGTGCTTTTGTCCT